AAGAGGTTTCCTTAGTTAACATGTCCGGGTAGGGGATCGAACTCACAACCTATATTAGTTGGCGATATATGTCAATTACCGATGAGTTCTACTCAATTTGACAAGAGAGTCCTAGTTGAAAGAGATAAAGAAGTCTTAAAACTTTTAAAATTTCACCACTTTTAATATTTACTAGTAAGAAACACGTGCGGTGCACATGAAATTTCATAGTTTTTATTTCAATGTTTAAAAATATAAAATTTAATTAAGTAGTTAAAATTTATATTATAATTTGGTTTTTTTATCTCTAAATGTTTACCTCACCAAGTTTTTTCGTATTTTCAATGTTTATCTCATAAAACAACATCTCAATAATTCTCATAACCCACTGATGTGGTTAGTGTAATTAAAAGTATTATTCTTCAATTATTTAAAAAAAAAATTCTAAAAAAAAACACATATTCATGGATTTTTCATTTTTTTTCCCTGAACATAACAATACATAAAAGTAAATATAACTTTGTTTCAATTTCTTATTTGAGTCATTGAAAAATAAAACGACAAAAAAAAAATAGTGAGAGATAGAGATGTGTTCAGGGCAGACGTTCTTTGCTATGTTTGAGTTCCAGTCCAATTCCTTGCCCTAGTTCGCTGGGAATGCCAACCGCATCCATGTTCCGATTGATTGCTCCGGCTATTTTCATGACACGATGATCACCTTACCAAGGAGGAGGTCATTGAGAGAGTCCTCGCGGTTATCAAGTGTCATCCCAAAGTGAATCCGTCCAAGGTGATTCGATCTTATCACTCATTTTCACTTTCCTTTTTCCAGTTGATTGAGTCGTTTGGAAAAAAAAACTAAAAAAGTTGAATATTCGATCAAACGATCTAACTAAATATAAGAAAACACAAGACATTGACTAAAGGAAAAAATTTACATACCGAATGAGAAGAGAAACTCAAGTTTTGATGAAGAAAAAATTGGGAGAAAGAGTAAGAAAAAACTCTTTATATAGTTGTAGAAAATAAAAAGCTACGAAACTTTTGAAATTCTTTATTAATTATAATTCAAAATAAGTTATAACCTTTTAACATAGAAATAAAGAGACAAAACCTTCCATATTCTAACCTTTAAGAGGGAGAGTTTATTAGAAAGAGAAAATTAATTTGAGAAATTTAAAATTTGTAATGATGGAGATTAAATATTTTAAAAGAAATGAAAAAAAAAGAAAGTGGCATGGGAGGTAGAGAAATGGTGTGATAACTCTCCAAATAGAGAGTTATTTGGGTATAATGTTGGTATAAATTAGCTAAATATAGCATCACTTGCACCCTTATTTACTGATTTTGTGCTAAAAAAATCATAAACACTAGCTTTCTACATTGTAGTATTGTCAATTGCAATTGAGTTAATTTTAGTGCATTTTGCTACAGCTTTGACGATGCTAGCATCAGATTCAAATTCAGAAAGTAGCAGAAAACGACAAGCTGACAGTGAAAGGACTGCCCAACGGGATTTACCACAGTAATTGGAGGTTTTACCCAAAAGTGAGAGCTGAGTCCCTCGAGGTCCATGTTGTTGCCCTAAGATCTGAAGGGGTATAAATACAAACAAGAGAAGAAACCTCCAAGGACACACACATCAAGAAACATTCCCCTTATTCATTCTTGAAGGAATCCACCCTCGCTCCAAGAAACCCTCTCTACAAAACCGTTGGAGAAAGTCAAGAGAAGAAGAAGACTCTTCAGTGGCATTTGTGAGCTGATCTTCAACTCATTTTCTTCATTTTCTCATCTTTGTATTATTTTCATTCCTACATTTTGTTTGACTCTGCTTATGGCTTTGCATAGCTAACCAACTTGTGTAAGGGGGAGATGTTCTAGACTTATTTTCTGGGTTGTAACCTTGTTGTTTGCGTTAATGAAAGTTTGCTTTGAGTTGAAGTTGCTTTATCAATCTACTTTCAACATGCTTGATCACCATTTTGAAATACCTCTTTGATAACATTTGGGAAAATGTATTAATGAGCGAAACCTTTCATCTTGGGCTAAAGCCTACTTGAGTTTAGCGTGTGGTGACTTAGGGATAAACATCACCTAGTTTGGTCGTAAGAACTGTGCGTATATGCTATAAATATGGGGTGTCCAAACACCTTGTCTCTTTGACCATTGCAATACTTCATTAATGCTACAACATAGTTAGAGTGACCCAGACGAGTCGACTTCCTTTCCCCCTTACGCCCTTGTTTTTATACAGTGTTATTAAGTGATTGTGGATGTGTGGTAAACTAGCGGACTTCACCCTTGTGTTTGATTTAAGAGACTCGCTTTAAATAGTATTTACCTCAATATATTTAGTCTTAGTAAAAATAAAAACTCCTTGGTTTATTGTATTGTTTCCTTGAATAAATATTGAGTATTTAAGCATTTAGTCTTTGTGGATTCAAACTTTTATTATTTACTGCGACGATTGTGTACACTTGCACATATAAAAATTGGTAGCACAATTAGTGGACAACAGGGAGTGAGAGAGAAAATTTTATATTTGAAGGACAAAATTGCCCTCAAAATATCTATGAGAATGTTGAAATTAAAAAGGTAAAATAGGGATAAAAAGTTTCTCCCTGTAGCCCCTTATATATATATATATATTATAGATAATTAAACATTATCATATAACAATGTGAAAATATTTCATATGAAAAATCAATGTTAATAGAATTTCAAGAGACCAACACTATTAAATAATGATCGAGATATAATGTACAACATGTGTGGGATGAGAGATCAAACTCACAACCTCTTAGTTGGCGCTGAACTATGTTCGCTTTAAGACAAACCGTTGTTGTTAACTTATCCCTGAAATCTATAATATAAAATCTATGATCTGAAAATCTTTTGTTGACAATTTTGTCTTTTCAAATAAGATCTGTCTCCCTCTCTTTCTCAATGTCCCTCAAATTCCACTATGTTTGCTTCCGTTACATATTTTAACGGTAAAATTATTAAAAGGCAAATTTAGGTAAAAGTGAAACTAGTAAATGAAGTTGTCGGTTAGTTACCCGAACCCGTCCGCGCGTCCGACCGGAAGGACGATGACGGTGACATACGTGTGGAGAGATATCTTAGGTTCACTCGATAAATCGTTTGTAAGCCCACCAAAAGATCTCTCGATAAAACTCTTTTTCAACATCAAAATCTTTTCACGTGGGACAACCAAAAGCCATTTTTATTATTTGTAAAACATATTTCTCTTTTGACAATCCTAACGTATTGTTGGGATATAACTCAAAATCCTAATGTACTTCAAATGAAATTTATTGTTTGTTATCATGAGAAAGATACTTAATTTTACGTAAAAAAGTATAATGACCAAAATGATCAGATTTTGCAAGTTTTATAGATTATTAAGATAAATTACTTATTTAACCTTGTTATATTTTATTTTTCAATTAATAAATTAAGATTAAAAGTAAACCTTTTATTTTATTTTCCATCAAAGAAAAGAAATTTAATTACAATTCATTTCAAATAATTCTCCTTCCGATGAAAAAAATTCTATCAAATTACTAAACCTATTTTGATGGGCCGTTATAGATTTAACTGTGATTACAAAAGATGATTCTTTCTCTACTACTTCTTATTGATAAGAATAGATTGCATGGACTTTCCTGCATTCGATCAACTCATATCTCCAAGTCCTGTTCCGAGGATCTCATTCAATAGATCCAACCCATTTTTTTTTTTTT